CCTTGTTCTAGCCCATAGTTTCTTCTTATCTACCAAGTTTTTAATTTTTTTCTGAGAAGGGTCCATATATGGCCCATTACACTTCCCTTTGCTGTGTTTAGGGTTTCCATTTCTAATTTTTATAAATTAATTCCTACCCTCCCCTATTCTTCTATTTTCTCTCCAGATTTTAGATCGTGCGTATGTGCTTTATAACCATCAGAAACCGATTGTGGATGATGGGTGGTGATTTATTTAGAATTCCAAAAGAAAGAGTGAAGTTGTAAAAAATATTGAAAACTGGAAACAGAAGAAAAGAAATGAAACCAAATAGGCGTCTGATATCTGCGCGGTTGGTTTCAAAAATCATGCATTTTTCCAATCCGAAAGGTAACCCAATTGAATTCGAAAGTGGGTTTTTGAATTTGATATATGGGTTTCGAATTTTGATGGTCCATCTCTATCCTTGCTTTCAGTTTCCTTTTTGTTTTGGGTAATCGGCGATGGAGATGGATTTCATCGAAGCACCTAAAAAGGTGGCGGATGAAGCGGCATCTGACGATGTTTCGACTAGGGGTCCTGAAGTTTGCCGATGACGGTGTTTAATGAAAATCATATAAATTTCTCAAGAAACAAGCAGAAAATCGGCAATTTTTTGGCGATGGTGGCAGCTTTTATCTGACTTTTTGCCGGATAAAAACAAGCAAACCAGAGATCGGCCCGTGGAAACCAACCTTCTCTACTTTGCCAACGCCAGACTTAATCTCACCGGTCAAGATCTGACGAACCCATCCATTTCAAAAGCCTTTCTGAATTTATTCAATAATTACTAGAAGAGGACAAGCATATTTAACTCAATGAAATAACTCAGATCTGGTTATACCACATTATTTTCTCTTATTAGGCAAAATCATCTACCTTCATCTGCCCCGCTCTTGTAAAAACAGTATTTGAGAGAGAACGTAGGGATTGAACTCATATCTAGGTTCGCGACGACGAGCAAATCCAGATCTGGGTTCCCTCGTGCTGCTGTCCTCGCCCCATGAGAGCAAGAAAGAAAGAGAACAACGGAGGTAGGAGAAAAGAATAGCACCGGTGCCGGAGAAAAGGGGAAAGAACGTGGGTACTTCGGAAAAAAAATGAAGAGGGAAGGGGTACTTTTGTAATTTTGATCAGGAATAGTAAAAAAAGTCGCGCGAAAGCGTGGTGGGGAATCGTGCGATACGTTCGTATTCTTGCGATCGGTCGACCGACCCTAGGGCACTCCAGAATTTTCTATTTATAGATCTGTGCAACATCTCAAATTCTCAACCATTCGCGAAGAGAGGCCAGTGCTTATTTTCCAAAAAAAAAAAAAAACACATTCGTGAAGAGAAATGAAGCATATGCTGATGTCCCGCATGAGCAGCGATGCCATGGGAAAACGCCGATTGAGGAAAACGCATATTCAGCTGAAGGTAGCATATTTTTGCTCCGAGAGCTCTATATTTTTAAAAATGTGTTTTATAGCATATATTGTGTAAGTGCAGTTTATTGTATGAATTATTAATTTACTCTTATGATAGATTATGCTTTTCATATATAAAACGTATTGTATTTCATGAATTTCATATATTTTTTGGAAATAGTTTTAGTATTTAAAATTACAATAAATTTATTTAAATATTAATAAAATTATATATATATATGAAGAGGGGAATAGTTATATATTTGTTTTATATAAAATTTTAATTATATATATTTTTATTTTTAATAAGTGAAATTTAATATAAT